ATGTATTGTGCGGTGAATTGCAATGAAAATCCTTATATTTCCAATTACATAAATATAGGAAAACAAATAGAAGATGAAGAGAATACTAATGAAAGGGAAGAGACTTCCCAATATCCTCCTATTATTTCTTATGATGAATCAGGTAATGAGGAGGAGCCTTCTATTCAACAAATATCATTAATAAGGAGCTCCAAAAAGAGGATAAAACCCACACATAATGTGAAGAAGAAAAATAAAAGACGAAGAAGCAAAGGTAAAAAGGTATCCCTCCCAAATGATGTTGCTCCTATTACTCATTGTGATGATGATAATTGCTATACTATTGGTGTTATCCATACTAGTAATGCGGAGAGTGATTATGCTTATGATATGAAAAGGCCCAAGCTTGGGGATGCTATGTTTTATGAGAATGACATGTTTGGGAAATTATTTGCTGCAATTAATATTTGTCCCAAGCTTGGGGATGCTATGTTTCATGAAGATGATATATTTAACGTCCCATGTTTTGATATGCAAATTTATTATGATGATAGAATGCCTCCTGTTTATGATGGTTATATTGATGAAAGTGGGTTTGGAAGAGTGTCGACTTTAGGAAGTAATGATCCCACTATTTTGGAGGGAGTTGAATCTTATTTTGAGAATTATGAAAGTGGATTTGGAGAGGTCATGACTTTATTTAGTAATGATTCCACTATCTTGGAAGAGGTTTCAATTGATTATGATGAGAACAAAGTTGCTACTTATGATGATTATTGTGATGACACTTATGCTATAAAAAGTAGTGATGATTATATTTATAAAACTTCTCATGATTATGATTACCCTTTTTCTGAACATTACTCTTTTAATGTGGAAACAATTTATAGTATTCGAGTTTCTTATGATACTCCCACTATTCCGAATAAGAAGAATTTTGCTTATGTGGAAGTAATATAAGTTCTATGCTTGTAGATCATGAAAAGAATGCTTTTATGTGATCGTTATATTGTTGAATTCATTAATGGTGCTACTGAAAATTATTATGAGGGAGGAAAATATGCTTGTAGGAATGTCAATAATATCAAGTTTACTCTCTATGTGCTTAAAGTTTTGAAGTTATGCTTGTTTTGCCTTCCTATGCTAGTTTATTATTGTTCCCATAAATTGTTTGCTCACAAAATCCCTATGCATAGGAAGTTGGTTAGACTTAAATGTGCTAGTCATATTCTTCATGATGCTCTCTTTATGTTTCGATTCTTATCTTTCATGTGAGCATCATTGAAATCATCATGCCTAGCTAGGGGCGTTAAACGATAGCGCTTGTTGGGAGGCAACCCAACTTCATTCTTGTTCTTTCCTTTTTGCTCCTGTTTAGTAATAAATAATTCATCTAGCCTCTGTTTAGATGTGATTTTATGTTTTAATTAGTGTTTGTGCCAAGTAGAGCCTTTGGGAAGACTTGGGTGAAGTCTTTGTTATCTTGCTATAAAAAACAGAAAGTATGCGCTCACTAAAATAATTATCAATATTTAACAGAGAGCGATAAACTACCAATTCCAACTGCATTAGATCAATATACTTTTTTTCCTAGTCGTCCTAATTTGGTAGATTTTTTGGAGGTATAGAATTATTCGAAACCACCAGATTGCTACAAACTGTTCTTTTTTTGACAGATTCTGTTTTCTATGTGTTGTTTGCTTATTTTGATGAATCTATGAGTAGTATCAGAGGGTATGAACCATACAGAAGTTGGAATATAGTAGATATTACACCAATATGAATTTATAATGGGTTCACAACAGTACGAAAAGTGGTGATTTATTTTCTTATACTAACAGAGCTTACGAGTTTTTGTTGAGTTTTGTGTTGTGAAGTTCTCATGTTTTGGGTAAAGATTCGATGGACTATGGAATAAGGAGTGGCAAGAGCCCAAGCTTGGGTATGCCCAAGGCACCCCAGGGTAAAGGACAACCAAAATCCTAAGCTTGGGGATGCCCCAGATGGCATTCCCTCTTTCGTCTTCGTTCATCGGTAACTTTACTTGGAGCTATATTTTTATTCACCACATGATATGTGTTTTGCTTGGAGCATCATTTTATTCTCTCTTTTTCTTGTTGTTTGAATAATATACCAAGATATGAAATTCTTAAATGTTAGAGAGTCTTCACATAGTTGCATAATTATTCAACTACTCATTGATCTTCACTTATATCTTTCGGAGTAGTTTGTCATTTGCTCTAGTGCTTCACTTATATCCTTTTACACTACAAGAAATATATCAACTTGTGACCTTGACTATTGGTCACTGAAAGGTCATTATTTTTCATTTGCTACCTTTTTGTGACCAAAAACAGAAGGTCAAAAGCTGGCGGTCGTAAACTGAAATTAACGACCTTATCTGTGAGAAGGTCGTCGATGTTTACGGCCAAAACAGAAGGTCGTTGAACCCATGACCTTTTGTTTTGGTCACTGGTTATCTGCCCAGGCCACATCGGATCCGAAGTGACAAGCTGACGTGGCAAAATTGCGACCAAATGAAAAGGTCGTTGACAAGAATCAGCCCGGTCCGATTCGACGCTTTACATGGGCCAGGCCCAACAATTCAGCCTTTTTATATATTTGTTTCTATCAATTTTTGATCGGCTTCATGTGCCAGGCCCAACAATCTGGCCTTTTTATATTCACAATTCAGCCTTTTTTATATTCTGGGTCGTGGCCTTTTAATAGTCAATTTCATATTATTTTCACCCTTCTCTAACGAGTTTTTTCCATTAAATAAACAGCTCCAAACCAACTTAGTTTGGGCCATGGCCTATTCAGTCCCAGTACTATTTTCTGCCATATTCAACCCATATGTAGTAGCATGTACACAATTTTCATAATCTTCATGTACACAGGGAATACAACATTTACTTACACAACAATACATCATCTACACAATTTGCCTTAACTTACTACTATATAACATTGTTCAACTCATATTAGCACATCTTGTACTGTCCTAATGGTAAGAACCAAGTAGTACAAACTTTATTGCTCCCTCTGATGTGCTCCAGATGCTACAACTTGCCTTCCTACAAAAACATAAAATTACATTAATAGATCAATCAAGGAGGAAAGGGAAAAAAAGCTGAAATCATCACACACACAAATAACTGCATAATACATTAATGTATAATGTAATAAAAATATATGTATAATCAGGGCAATTTCCAGCCAACATGCGCACATGAATCATAGTAGAGCTAGCAAAAGCGGATTAATTATCAGCAACATGCGTGCCATGTACAAAACTAAAGAAGATTTTTACCAAAACAGAAGGAATGAAGGACTTGAGCAACCATGTGATGTGCATGCATTTGGTACAAGGAAAGCTATACTACTGATTCCATGCTCTTCCCCAGTTATTGGGTATGAAAGAGTTTTGAAGGCTGCTGCTTGTAAGGTCCAGCAGGCAAATTGAATAAAAGGGCGGTGGGTTAACACCAACAATGTCCTTGTTTAAGTTATTTGATGTTAATATTAACCTATTAGTCTATTGTCAGTCTTCTCCACACAGATTATATGCAGCTGAGTGAGAAATTAGATTATGTGAACACACCGTATATTACCTAACGAGAGCAGATGCTACCTCTCAGACTGGTTTTTCATTCCATTTGATATTGCTGATTTTTTATAGCTTTCTCAGAGTAGTATAATTTTTCACTCTGTGGCCCTAAATAAAAATCTTGCGAGAAAAATAGAAATATATTATGATGGTATAAGTTGGTTGTGTTGCCATCATGGAGTGTAAATAAGAACATGGCACATAGTTGAAAATAGCCAGCAGAGACCTGAACCAGTCAGGAATTCATTGTAGCAGGCAAGCAAACCAATTTGGCAAATAGTGCAATGCCAAGTGAATTTAGTCAAGCATGTATGTGAATTCAGAGCAGTAGCACTAGGGACTAGGGACTGACGGCAATAGCACTAGATTCAGTCAAGCATGAAAGTGAATCTAGAGCAGCAGCAAAATCAGGGAACGTTAGAGAGGTAGAAGGAGGCTCAACCATGAATTGATGCTGCCCCATGGTTGGGTATGTAATTGTCGCTGCTCCTCCTTGTGGATGCCGAGGTCGGAGACGCCGGATCCGTGCGGGCATCTGTCTCCCATCCGCACGAGCTAAGCAAACCTTAGCAGGTAGTCCACCGGAACCTTCTTCCTCTTTGGTCGCACCAGCGGCGTCTGCAGAGCCACCATGGCCGAATTCTGACTTATGAAATGAAAAAGAGCACAATGAGATGTTAGCTGAGCCATGATGATATAGTAGTAACATGGAAGCATACCAGGGATAAACTGTACAGAGGAAAGGCGATAAATAACAAAAGCAGGAGTAACATATTCTTATGACAACCAGGACATAACCATCCCGATTCCATTTTACCATGTAATGTATAGTTTAAAAGTGAAGCATATCAAGAAGAAATTGTACACAGGCAAGGATAAAAAAATAGAACATTAGCATTGTCATGGCCCCCAAAGACAAATATTGACCAAGGGGTGTATCAATAAGACTCGTCTATCCCAATTCCATTCTGAATTTTTAATTGTCATATAATGGTAAGAAGTTAAGCGGAAATGGTGCAGCAACATGGATGAGCATATCCTGTTACACAAACAGATGCTATCACGGACATCGCAATGCATCTGCCAGGCCATTGGACATCATAACATGAGTAATGTTAGCTAAGCCATTATGGTATAAGAGCAACATGGAAGCATATACTACATAACAAAAGCGGAGTAGCCTTTTTCTTGTGGTTTCCAAGACGCATCCATCCCTATTATATTTCTAATCGCCACATGATGTTAGGTGAAAATGATGCAGTGGCATCTAACATGGAGCATATTCTTTACACAAACTGGGTCAACATGTAGAGGGTAAGAGACACTATCATTCACAGGCAGATCAACCTATGTGCCAAGGAACTGGACATGACATGACATGAGCAATTCCATGAGAAGTACATGTACAGGGCTACGACCAGGCGTCAGGGAGGACGGGGTCGGAGTAGGTGAAGAGGCCATCATCCTCCTCGTGGTGCATGTCATTGCCGTTGGAGTCGGGCATTTTGGGAACTCCATCAAACTGGTCCTATTATCAAAAAAGGAACAAAGACAGTTATAAACACAACTAGAGAAGGACCTGGAGCAACTACAAACAATTCAAAATGAGATTAAAAGAACCCTATGATTTCAATTTCAAATCAAGCTAAACATATTAAATATTAAGCCATCAGTAATACAAACTTGATCCAAATCCATGCCAAACTGAATCTACCAAGCGTGACAACATCAACATGACTCGATTATTTCCATCTATTGCAGGCCCACCAGAAAACTTCCATAAATTTTCTTAGGAGTTCTAAGGACTTAAAATATACAGTAACAAATTCTTGGTTTAAAGCCTCAATTAATATGAAGTTTAGAAACTGCCGAAATAAGATAAAAAAAGCAGTTTACAGTAAATCAATCTTTATAGCAAAGACATCAGTGTGCCTACCAATTTCGCGACTAAATTCACGAATGTTTCAGTTTTCCAGTTAACCACTAGAATCCATTCATTTAGACAGGAGAGCCTGCAACCTCAAGGTTCTATACACACACACATAGACACACACACACACACACATACACACACACACACATGGTTCCTATCGCCTTCATGTTTCAGCATATTATCCAGCACAGACCAAATAGAGCCAAAAACAACCCTACCGGCCAAGCACACAAATAAACTACCAAGTCCTCACATCTCCACATCAAAACAAGTAGAGCGAGTGAAAAATGTTACAAAGGTGGGCATCAAAGCAAGAACCAGTGAGGGGCGATGTACGGCTCTAGCGGCATGGTCAACGGGCAGGAGAGGACGGATCTGCCAGGTGGGGGAGGAGGTCCATGCGACGAGGCTGGTCAGAGGCTTCGGTGGCCAAAGGAAGCGGGTCCGAGCGGCAAGATCCTGGACAGACTCTGTCCATGGCGTTGGCTGTCATACCGAGAAAAGGACAGAGAGAGCGGGAGGTTAGCAACGGAAGAGAAGAAAGGGAGCACGGGAAATGGAGAAGGCAAGGCAGAGGCTTGGCTCACTGGCCTGGGACTCTTGCCACCGACAGGCACGCGCGGTGGAGCTGTTGGTCCTATGGTGCTGCGATGAAGACGGAGGGAGACGAGAACGAGTGGAGGCACGCATCGGAGGAGCTCGGGAGGGCGCCATGGGTCTTGTGCATGCTCGAGCAGCGAGCTCCTCTCGCTCAGACGCGGGCGTAGAAGATGGAGCTCGGGCTCTTGGTCGGTGCTCGGGAGGCGCGAAGCAGAGGAGGCCGGTGCCTCGCGGGCTGTGTGGGGACGAGGCGGCGCCAGGGTGCACTGCTGGGGAAGGAGCGCAGGTGGCTGGAGTGCTGCTGCGGGCATGGATGGATGGTTGGATCGATGAAGGCCGATGGTTGCAGGAGACCTCGTTCCCGACGAGATCGAGCGGGGATGTGGCCATGGACGTGCGGTTTGGTTGGGTGGGGGAAGGGGAGGGGAGAGGAGTAGGGCGTGCGGGAGGCCATGGATGGCGGCCAGCTCCGCCGGAGGGAGGTGCCAGCGGCGATCTGGAAGGGAGGAGGCAGCTCTCTCTCTCTCTACGTCGGGCGAGACAGCAAGGAGATGGATGGATGTGGGAAAGAAAGGAGGCGGGGGGTGGATGGAAAATGACTAGCTAGGGTTTCGGGGTTGGTGTGGAAGGGTTGAGGACAACCGTTGGATCCACGAGCATCCGACGGCATATGATGCACGATCCGCGTGAAACGTCTACGGACCAATCAGAATGCAGTATGATGCTATGACCATCTAAATTGATCATAGTTGCCAAAAAATAATGTGTTAAAATCATGTCAGGTATTTTATGACCTGAGAAATTCAAAAAGAAAATAGAAAACCATCTCATTGTGTGACCAAAATGTGAACGAGTTTTCAGAAAAAACAACAAACATGAAAAAAGATAAATATCTTCAAAAAGGTGTAGTGAGAAATGAGTTTTTTGGCAAAAAAAACATTTTTCATTTTTCGAGGGACCAAAATGAGTTTTTTTGTGAAGGACCTACCATATATTTGTTGCAAAATTGGATCAAATCATTTTTCTAAAATACTAGGCCATATTTAATGCACAATTGACCAAATGGATGGGTGTCAAAAGCTTTGTTCCACCTCTGGTGAAAAAGACAAATTTTTGCCGATTCAGCAGGAAACACGTCAAATTTGAACAACAAATGCCTCATAGTTTGCTCTTTATTTTTTTCAAAAATCTTTTCTAGGTACATAAATATCTATTTAATCAGAGAAACACCAGATAAATCCAAAATTCAACCACTAGCTAGGAACGGGCATGCCTGCCGTTTTGATCGCATTTTGAAACGAGCATAAAAATAAATAATAAATAAAAATTGGAAAACCTTCGCATTGTGTCATTATATGTGGCCAAGTTACCAGGAAAAATAATAAATTTGTAATACGGTAATTCTTTTAAAAAAGTGTTAACAGAAATGAGCTATCATCTATGAAGATTCACGGCTTTCAAGCCAAATGATCAATCTTATGGCCACATTGATGGCATAGTTTCTTCAAATGATCTCATATTGTGCACAAGAGTGCATCTTGCAATGGCAAACAATGTTGCCTAAGGGATTTTTCATTTTCTTTGTACGGAAAATCAATTTTTCATTTTCCGAGTGCCAAAAATGAGTTTTTTTCTGAAAGACCTACCACATATTTGTTGCAAGATTGTACCAAATCAATTTTATAAAATACTAGGCCATGTTTAATGCACAATTGACCAAATGGTTGGGTGTCAAAAGCCTTGATCCACCTCTAGTGAAGAAGACAAATTTTCGCTGATTCAGTAGGAAGCAGGTCAAATTTGAACTGTAGTTGCCTCATAGTTTGCTCTTTATTTTATCCAAAAATCATTTCTAGGTACATAACTATCTATTTAATAAGAGAAACATCAAAAGGTTTCCAAGATTCAATAACTAGCTAAGAACGGTCAAGCCTGCCGTTTCGACCGCATTTTGATACAGGCATAAAAAATTCAAAAAAAATCAAAAAATTGCAAAAGCCATCGCATTGTGACATCATATGTGACCAAGTTTTCAGGAAAAATAATAAACTTGTAATAAGACAATTATTTTTAAAAAGTGTTCTCAGAAATGAGGTATCATGCCAAATGATCAATCTTATGGCCACATTGATGGCATAGTTTCTTCAAATGATCTCATATTGTGCACAAGAGTGCATCTTTCAATGGCAAACAATGGAAAACTTGTAATACAACAATTATTTTTAAAAAGTGTTCTCAGAAATGAGGTATCATGCGTGAAGATTCATGGCTTTCAAGCCAAATGATCAATCTTATGGCCACATTCATGGCATAATTTTTTCAAATGATCTCATATTGTGCACAACGGTGCATCTTGGAATTCCAAACAATGTTGCCTAAGGGAGTTTTTATTTTCTTTGCATGGAAAATTCATTTTCCATTTTTCGAGTGCCCGAAAAGAGCTTTTTTTGTGAAGGACCTACCATGTATTTGCTGTAAAATTGTACGAAATCAATTTTCTAAAATACTAGGCTATAGTTAATGCACAATTGACTAAATGATTGGGTGTAAAAAGTTTTGATCCACCTCTCGTGAAAAAGACAAATTTCCGCCGATTCAGCTGGAAGCGGGTCAAATTTGAACTGTAGCTGACTTGTAGTTTGCTCTTTATTTTTTCCAAAAATAATTTCTAGGTACATAAGTATCTATTTAATCAGAAAACACCAAAATAATTCCAAGATTCAACCACTAGCTAGGAACGGTCATTCCCACCCTTTTGACCGCATTTTGAAATGGGCGTAAAAAATAAAAAAAATAAAAAAATTGGGAAACCTTCGTATTGTGTCATTATATGTGGCCAAGTTTCCAGGAAAAATAAAAAACTTGTAATACGGCAATTATTTTTAAAAAGTGTTCTTAGAAACGAGCTATCACGTGTGGAGATCAATGGCTTTGAAGCCAAATGATCAAACTTATGGCCACATTCATGGCATAGTTTGCTCAAATGATCTCATATTCTATACAGGGGTGCATATTGGAATGGCAAACAATCTTGCCTAAGGAAGTTTTCATTTTCTTTGGATGAAAAAACCATTTTCATTTTTTGATTGCCCAAAAGGAGGTTTTTTGTGAAGGACCTCCCAAATAATTGTTGAAAAATTGGACCAAATCATTTTTCTAAAATACAAGGCCATATTTAATGCACAATTTACCAAATAGTTGGGTGTAAAAAGTTTTGATCCACCTCTCATGAAAAAGAAAAATTTCCGTCGATTCAGTTGGAAGCGGGTCAAATTTGAACTGTAGCTGCCTTGTAGTTTGCTCTTTATTTTTTTCCAAAAATCATTTCTAGGTACATATGTATCTATTAATCAGGGAAACACCAAAAAAATTCCAAGATTCAACCACTAGCTAGGAACGGTCATTCCCGCCGTTTTGACCGCGATTTGAAACGGGCATAAAAAATTGAAAAAAATAAAAAATTGGGAAACCTCCGCATTGTGTCATTATATGTGGCCAAGTTCCCAGGAAAAATAACAAACTTGTAATGCGGCAATTATTTTAAAAAAGTGTTCTCAGAAACGAGCTATCACGTGTGGAGATCAATGGCTTTCAAGCCAAATGATCAATCTTATGGCCACATTCATGGCATAGTTTGTTCAAATGGGCTCATATTGTGCACAAGGGTGCATATTGGAATGGAAAACATTGTTGCCTAAGGAAGTTATCATTTTCTTTGGATGAAAAAACCATTTTCCATTTTTCGAGTTCCCAAAAGGAGGTTTTTGTGTGAAGGACCTCCCAAATAGTTGTCTCAAAATTGGACCAAATTAATTTTCTAAAATACTAGAACATATTTAATGCACAATTGACAAAATGGTTCGGTGTAAAAAGTTTTGGTCCACCTCTCGTGAAAAAGACAAATTTCCATCGATTCAGTTGGAAGCGGGTCAAATTTGAACTAGAACTACCTCATAGTTTGCTATTTATTTTTTCCAAAAATCATCTCTAGTTACATAAGTACCTATTTAATCATAAATACAAGGTTTGGTGGCGATACGTCGAGGTTTGGGCGGTGGCCGAGGGCCCCAACTCTAAAGCGCGTAAACTCGCATGCCCGCCACATGGTCACCGCGTGACCGTGGCGTTGCCATGTGTGTTGGGTGGCCTAGGCATGTCTAGTGGGTTGGGCACTCCCCAGGTAGGTGCTAGGAAGAAAATTACAACATAAGATTCTCACGAGCAGACCGATCGATGCTCAAACATGAATTAGCAGCCAAGTGTTTGATTAGCGGTACGGAAAATGTACATGGCTAATGGGCATGAGTTTTGGCTGATAATGATCAGTTACTAAGAAGACCTTCTTCACAAATTTTCAGCTCAAAAGGAGGAGCCTAGGTGGTACTTTCTTTGCAAAGTACCACACTGGACATAAATACAAATGTTGAAGCTGCGCTCAAAATAATGAATGGATTGAGCTGGCATTTGGTGGAGGATGGTTATTTGGGCATAAGAAAGCACCGTAGAAAATGGATACTATTTCGACATGCCAAAGTGGTACTTCCTTCACAAAGTGTTGTTTTGAACAAAATAGGAAAATGAATATTGTTGAATTATTTTTGAACTAGGAAAGGAAGGTTTTTTTACATATTTGATGAAGATATGACCCAAAGAATTTATGAGATTTTTTTGGGAATTTTGGGAATGACAGAAATATAGGTTGCTTCACAACCCGGGGCAAAAATTGCAGCATGGACATGACACATAGGCAAAACTGATGAGGTGGCGCCTAGTCATAGCAACCCACCACAATTTACAAGGTTATGACCATCTATATTGGTCGTGATCAGCTAGAAATAAGGCAGCGGGCCAATGCTATCTGCTTTATGACCATTTCGTGTAAGGAAATTATGACCTTTCTGACCAAAATGGTCGTTATAATTTAGGGTTTGGAGCCCCCCGAACAACTTTTGACCAATTAGTCTGAAATGGTCATAGATCTATGACCAATTCTTTTAGGGTCACTGACAGAAGGTCACTAGTTGACATATTTCTTGTAGTGTTAGAGCATGGCGGTGGTTTTATTTTGAAGAAATAGATGAACTCTCGTGTTTCACTTATATTATTTTGAGAGTCTTTAGAACATCATGGTAGTTTGCTTTGGTTATGAAATAGTGCTAATATGATGGGCATCCAAGATGGGTATAATAAAAACTTCCATATAGAGTGCATTGAATACTATGAGAAGTTTGGTACTTGATAATTATTTTCAGATATAAAGATGGTAATATTAGAGTTGTGCTAGTTGAGTAATTGTGAAACTAAGAAATAC